TCTTCCAAAATAAAAGTTTTCGTTTACATAATATATGTGTGTGTACTGTGTACATTTATTATGTATATATACAGTAAATACACACATATACAATATATATTTCGAAAATACTTACGTGTATATATTTATATTCATATAATTTATATTATACATATATTTAAAATATAAACAACATATTTTTCTTAAATATATACATGCATGTGTGTGTATTTATATATACATAACAAATATACACAGTACACACACATATATTATGTAAACGAAAACTTTTATTTTGGATGCGATTAATCGCGATTAATCGTTTGACAGCACTAATTTATATATATATATTTTAAATAAAAGCTACAATAATTTTTCTCTGTGTCACTCTTTTAGCCAGTAGAGGTGTGTATTCCATATCACAAAACACGGAAAGGTGATGTTGCAGTTCGCAGGTTTGATGGTCGGTCTTGGTCGACACTATCCACCCTGACCAGGAGGGGAAGTGAGAAACACAGCTGCAGGCCAGGGGGACGCCCAGCGCGGGTGAGCGAATCAAATCCCTCTCAGTCCAAAACCTGTAAAGCGTCCTGAGAGCATGAATGCACACATATATATTATCATCTGTGTGTTTGCAGTTGGCCTGCTGCAGTGTGTCTCAGTTCTCGTGGTTTGTGGCCATCTCTCGTCCTTTCCTGGACAGTTGCTCTGTGTCTCCAGAGGGGGCGCTGCTGGTGTCTGAATTCGACCCGGGGATCAAACTTATTTTCCCTCCAGAGTGCACAACAGAGACACGTACAGTCACATTGCAGGTCTGTACATGAATATACTACGCCGTTTGTGTCATTAACACATGTGATTATCGTGCTGTTTTCGATAGTGATGCAATATGATTATTATTTTTACATTGTGGCCAAAAAGCAATAAGATGGCCAAGATTACGAATCAAATAAAATAAAGGTGGTAATTTATTTTGTAAGGTATTTAGTAAATGAATCATCAAAATGTTAAAATGTACAGTAGAAAGTATGAATATCTGGTTAAAATTTTTGATACCTGCTATACTGTTTGAATCAGTGTTATTGTAGTATCACCGATATGCTATTATGGTATTTGTTAATTTGATTCAGATTTAATTTTTATATTTTCTGTTTTCATTTTTGTTTTAGTAAAGTGACAATACAAACAACAATAGCGCTCCTGCTTAATAGAGACCGTCTGGGTTTCGTGATCCTGGTTCACGCACCTCAATCCATGCAGGGCTTTTCAGAAAGTCAGCGCGCGTGACAGAATGAGATTAATACACTGTTTTTGCTCAAAACTCACTCTACTGTGACCTAATGCAGATATTTTATGTAATAAACTGACGCATTATAAATGTATTATGAGATAGAACGCAGAAGTTTACAGTCATCGTAATGTGGGAATTATGATCACGCAATATTGACTGATGGATCGGCAGAGAATCATCTTTCTGCGAGTCATTAAGAAATTATGGTTCTAGTCTATTTATAGAAATATGAGGTAAACGTGTGAATACATGTGCACACATTTGAGTAAAAATTTGTATGTTGTGAAGTGAAGCGCTGATCAAAAATAAATGGAAGCAAACTCGATTGAATATGTACAGGTTTGTGTCGTTCTATTCAAAATATCATTAACTCACGATTGATTTTGCATTCCTGGCAGAAATAAGAAGTATTGACTTGTACATATTAAAATATATAAAAGAATAAGTGAGCATATTACCTTTTATTGTGCTTTAAATGAGTAAAAGTTCTTACTGACGAATGGGCAAAACCTCGGATAGTGGCAAATAAAAAAAAATAATGTAAAATTTGACATTTTAGTGGGTCTCTTCTGTAAATCAGGGGAAAATGTATGATATTTATTTTTTTCTCGGAAAAACAAAAACAAAATTGCAATTAAATTAAACAGAATTTTTTTTTTTTTAAACAACAATTTAAAGCAATATTACACTTTTTGTTTTTATGCTTAAACCCTTTTTCGTCTTTGACCCATATATATATATATTATTTTATTTTATTTTATTTTTTTGTCCTAAGGTCCTGCAGGTGGTGCTGTCTGAGGTGCAGGACCTGATCGGAGACCCTCATGCGAGTGCCAGCCCACTGCTATGCCTCTCTCAAACTCCCAGCATACATTTCCTTCAGCCAATCACAGTGCAGATTCCTCTTCCACCTGGAGTGACTGGTATTGCATCACATTTACTCTTCACTTCTTTCTAGGAAACGGTTTCATTGTTAAACCGAGGAAAACTTGAAATCGCATCATATGACCCCTTTAAACTTGTTAGATAACTTGTCACATAAAACTGACTGAAAAGTGTGCGTGTACTTTTTTTTTTTTTAGAATAAATGCCACATACTTTGATATTTTTATGTAATGCCGGGATTCCCAAACCTTTTTTGTCAGCTGAACCCCTTAGATGTAAAATATTTATTTAAATTATTATTAAAAGATTTTAAGTTAATTTTCAATAATTTAATGGCACATTCGCATGTTTTCTGATGTTGGTTAATGGTCACATGAAGTGAAAGTAAATAGATCAAATATTCAATCTTTTTAGTAAGAGTTTTTATTTTGAATTTGTAGCTGGACTAAAGTGGACTCAAACCTCTTTTTAATTGTAATAGTGTCTCAGTTCACATTATATTCGCACTAGAGTTTTAGGAATTAAACTGAATAACAATAATAATAATAATAATGATGATGATAGTAATAATTATTATTATGATTTAACTCTAATTATAAAAATGAAGACAGATATATATTACTATATATTTCTGTAAATTATAATTTTAGTATGCTATTTGACTGCCATTTTAATTTATCGAACAGAACAGTATGTACTGCAGATGCATGTTTTAGGTTTGTGTCTGTGTGTGTTCAGGACACATGGTGGACATGTCCCGTTTGCACCTGATGCACGGCGACCCCACGGCCCACACCTGGACTGACATCACCGCTCAGGTGTCGCTTTATGTCACGCACATCTACGCGGTCTTCTCCATCACACACTTCTCATGGTGAGCGTCTATAAACACACACATAAGCGAAACAGTGTGTATTGCAGATGGATGTTTTAGTTTTAGGTTTGTGCGTGTGTTTGTGTGTGTTTAGGACAGATGGTGGACATGTCCCATTTGCACCTAATGCACGGTGACCCCACGGCCCACACCTGGACTGACATCACCGCTCAGGTGTCGCTTTATGTCACGCACATCTACGCGGTCTTCTCCATCACACACTTCTCATGGTGAGCGTCTATAAACACACACATAAGCGCGAACCCATACAGTCTGTCATATATATGTGTGTGTGTGTGTGTGTGTGTTCAGGTACTGGTTGTGGTACACCACTCACAGGTGTGTTAGTGGTGTCGTCAGGAAGATGTATCATCGCTTGAAACAGTTCCGGATTCGATTCCTGGCGCTACAGAAAAAAAACGACCCAGAGCAGGTTCTGCTGCAGTGCCTGCCGTCGGACAAGGTGAGTGTGTGTGTGTAGTCAAGCTGAAGTGTAATTTCTGTGCCGCTATTATGCTAAGAGGTTGTGGGTCGATGCTCGGGAGTTGATATAATATTCATCTGCCAGGTGTTCACAATCTTCAGGAAGTCAACCTATGAACTTATTCATAGGTATAGGCTTTGTATATTGATGTAGGACTTTAATGCCGAAATGAGACACTTCTGGTCTCTCTTTAGGCTGAGAGCAGGTTGGCGTCTCTGTCGGAGCAGTATGAGGGTCCTCAGCCGTCTGAGTTGTGCGTCCTGCTGGAGGGAGAGCAGTTTTTTGCTGGTTTTGAGAGAGGCATTGACATCAGCGCAGGTGGACACACACACATAAAACAAAAAACACTACAGCCTACTATAAAGTCACAATAATAGCTCAAGTTTGTTTAGCGGAATGTAATTGGAATGTGTTTCCTCAGACCGTCCGGACTGTAAAGATGGCAGACTCTCATTCACCTTTTACTCTCACCTGAAGAACATTAAAGAGGTGCACGTGTGCCCGACCCACCCACAGCAGGGCACCGTGAGAGGACAGGTGAGACGGGCACGGGACACGAGGCGTTCAGGGGTCACAGTTTTTGGATCAGCCCAGTATTTCAAGTCAAATGTAATGTAATAAGATGTGTGTCCTTCTAGGTGTCATTTTACAGGGGTGAAGTGCCCAATGATCTTCCAGAGGAAGTGGCGAGTAAAAGAAAAGGTCATGACAACCAGTGGATGGCGACGCTTCCTCTACGGATTGCTGTGAGCGATCTCGAAGATCTAGAAAATTATGCCTCTTTCCCAAACCACAACCACAATGCTATGTTGTGTATTATAAGATTTCGCTCTTAAGTCTTGATCCTAAATGTAATGCTCAGCGAAAATATATAGTTTAAAATACAATTATTATATTTATACATAATATTTCTTTTCTTTTCTATTTTCTATATCTATACATACAGTATATTTTAAAGGATGCAATGCTTAGTGAAAATGTATGATTAAATATTTACATTAATAATATATTTAGAATTACATTAATAATATATAAATCTATTTGTAGTTTAATATATTATTATATATTATATATTATTCTTATAT